CCTGCCTGCGACCCGCGCCCCCGCACGGCAGCGCGGCGAGAGCCACAGGGCCGGTTTGCAGCGTTTCTTGTAACGAGGAATGCCTCGTGGCTTTTAAAACGCTGCAGCTCAGTGTAATGTCAGACATTCAGTTCCTGTGCTCGGTGTTTTTTAATTAATTACAGTGTTTGATGATCAGTTTATTTCATTTTGCTTTCTTCTTATTGAGGATTTCTGATTTACAGGCAGACTATTATGCCCAACAAATAAAAGAACTGGAAGAGAAATTTCAGAAAAAAGTCAGAGAAATTGGCCAAATTCAACTAGAACTGAAATTAATAAAGGAGTTGTGCAAGCATAAAGCAGCTATGGAGAAAGAGCTGGAAGATGTAAGATTGTCATATACATAGGCAATATTTACTTAAAATTCAACTTTTCAGTCTGCGTGGCAACATAGAGTTCTAGAGTGTAGAACAGACATGTCTGATCTGCTGGGTTGTTTTCTTTACAGTTTGCAGAGTAAGGAAAAGGTTGATAAAATCCAAGTTCTGTAGCTGGAACTCGCTTCTGTAATGGTCCAGTGCTGGAGGGATCCTTTTGGTTTGTTTTTTTTTTTTCACACAGGAATGTGGAGTCATACAAACTTGTATGTGGATGGAGTAGAACATCTAGTACACACTTCAAAAATATGTGTAGAGGCGTTAGCAGCTGGTCATAAGCAGTATAAGTCTCACTGATTTCTCAGTAGTTAGCTCACTTAGGATGGAAATCCTAGTGTTGTATCATCTTTTCAAACACATAAGCCATTTAGAATATAAAACTTGGGACTGTCTTTCCCAAAGCATGTACACAGCTTATGACCTAGCCAGGCACACTTTGACACTATGATACCAATACTGAGTAGTAGTATTGCCTGTAAAACATTTCAGCCTGGGATAAAAAAGTATCCCAGCTGACTGATGACATGAAAAAACTGCCTTAAGCAATTCAAGTACCTTGCTGATACAGCTTTACTGGAATTTTTTCAGCCACAGGAAGGGGCTTAGAAACCACCAAATATTTTCAGTGATGATTGATCAACAGCATTTGGATGATTAATATATAGCTGCTTTTAAGCCATTAAATACAAGTTAGTCAGGCATTTTTCAAAGAACGCTTGAGGCATTGGACTTGGGATGATCTGTATGATTGAATGAATAAACAAAGTAAAGCAGATTTCACAAGCAGCTTTGAGCAGTGACTGTGTGTGTGTGAATGACTGTCAGTGGTGGGCACAGGACAACTATGAAGGGCAGGAAAAGCAATAATACAAGATGGAAGGTTAAGTAAATTTTATGGATTGTGTAAAAATGATGAAGACTGGGTAGTGCCAGCAAAGACTACCAAAACTCCTTGAAGAGTAGATCCATATTTGTAGTTATATGGCTGAAATAAAATGCCATTATTACAGAAATTTTATTTTTTTATTATAGTTAAAAGAGAGTATGGAGATTTGAAACAGGAGACATCAGGAAGTGGTTGAGAGATTGGAGAGCAGGTTTCTTGAAGAAAAGATAGAGACTAATAGGGAGTTAAAGCAGTTTTTATTAGAACAAAATTATTTCTCTCACAGACTACTCTGGCTTATATGGTTTTCTCAACTTTTTAGTGAGCGTTTTGTAGTTCCCCATGGCAATAAAAGTATGATAAATGAGTTGGAGAATAGGTGCAGCTTTCCAAGGAAAAGTATGAGATGTCAGGATCACAGAAAGGCCACATTCTTCACTTCCATCAGGAACTTAAGTGCCCTCAGGGGTTCATTCTTTCTCTAGCAAGAAGCTGGGTGAGCTGAGAACTCTGGGTGTGATTTTAGAATTTACGCTGTTTCAGACTTTAGCTTTGGTGCCACAGGCCTCATGCAAAGTTTAAACAGGCTTTTCTCCCTTTCAGAAAAGACTGGAAGAAGATGTTGAGAAAAAGCAAATAAGGATGGCAGAGATCACCCACCATGAGGCTGTTTTGTGAGAAACACTTGATTTTCCCATTTTCTACTTTACAAAACCATTTCAGCACTGTGTTCTAAATAACAAATTGCCTGGGCTACTATACGGGCTTTGAAGGGCAAAACTGATGACCTAGGCTACTTCTGTATTTCAAATGTCAAGATGATATCAGCACTTGGATTTAAACTGTAAGACTCATGCTGGTTCCAGGGGATAATGGAGGTAATATTATCAGAATGGTCCCACTGTCTTCTTCATTCTCCCAGTCTAGATGGAGGGGTATGACAACTTGGTACAGAACTATAAGAGTCTTACAGCTTAGCTCTGAAATTAGGACATGGGAATGTTGATGTTAATATTATAAAAAGGCAAGAAAGATTGTGATAAAAGCTCTTGGATTTTGTTTCCTTCTGTCCAGGCATCTGAACAGCACTGGGAGAGAGCTGTCTAAGGAGAACGTTTGTGTTTGCGATGCATTTGCTTACCAGCTGAAAGAGACAATGGAACTGCAGAAAATCAAGCAGAAGTTAGAACATGACAAAATGGTTCTGTTACACGAGAAGGTTTCTACTCTGGTTTTAATTCTGTTTCTTTCTCCTCCGGGAAAGGGTACAACAGATGTAAATTCACCGAGGCTAAACTCTACCCAGTCAGATGCCTCTGCAGTTACTGAACTCAGAGTTGTCTGAGGAAGAGCTCTTATTATGGAGGAGAAAGAGGGAGGGGTTTCCTATGCCAGCTCATTAATAATAGGTGCCTCTCTAATATATACTACATGCCAAACCTTCTTGGTGTCTGGCTTCTCTTGTAAACAAAAACCTGGTCCAAGAGGTTCACTCTGGTTCACTCTTCAGTGGGAAGGTGCCAGCATGCTTACTACCTTGTCAGTGCTGGGGGGGAGGGAAAGCCCTCCAGGTTTGGTGCGAATAAAATAAAAGCCCAAATAATTTCTCCTTGTCTTTTAGGAAATCAGTGAGGGTTTGATGCGAAAAAAGATCCTACAGATCAATCGCCAGAAAGCACAGATTGGAGATCTGCAGCGTAAGGTGGAAAAGCTGGAGATGGCCTTATGTCGCATGACTGCCAGAGAGACCCAGAAAACACAGCTTCAGGCACAGATAGGAAGCCAGGCAAGCACGGTGGAGATCAAGAAACTGCAGCAGCTGCTAGAAATGAAGGATCGGGAGATGAACCGAGTGAAGAAACTAGCCCGGAACATCTTAAATGAGAGGACTGAGGTGGAAAGGTTCTTCCTTGATGCTCTGGAACATGTGAAGCAGGAGATCATAGCCAATAGAAAGGACTACAAGAAAAAGTCTCAAACTGCCTATTACAGAAAAATGATGGAAGCATGTGCAGGAAGGGAAGAATTTCCCAAAATCAAAACATTCAAAAGCAACATAAATAGCACAAACAGTGTGTACAGAGACCTAGAGGAAGCAGAAAGATGTTACTGGTATTGAAACATCAAAAACTAGTAAATTTTCCTGGAACACCTGAAAAAACCCTTTGTATGATAATATTGGCTAGATTTGGAACCTTTGTAGAGGCTTCTGCAGTGAGAATAGCTGTGTGAAGGGTAATAGCCTATCAATTAGTAGTGATTTTGTGAGCACCTAATTTCAACTAGGCTGTCACGTTTTGGTCATTATTTGTATGGCTTAAAGTAAAGATAAGTTAAAAAGAGTTCTTTTCATATTCTGCCATATGTTGTGCAATTTGATATAGAACTCCAAGTATAGATGAGCTTCTGCAGTTTTTGTTTCAGTAATTGTTGCTTCTTTAAGCTTTTTGGGTTTATAGGCATTGCTTTTCTGGCATTGCTCCTGTGTTTTTTACTCACTCCAGTGAGCTAACAACACTGAAACCTAACAATTATGCTAAGATGCTAACAGTAGATGGCAAATCCAGTCTTTTTTCAGCTGCTTTTCCATATGTCAGAAGCCTTTACTTTGCATCGTGCTTTTTTCAAAGGCTGTTTTCCTCAAGCTTCATGATAATCTAAAAATTAAGCTATTACAGGAAATATACACTGTCATATCAAAACCAAGATCACATGCAGCACAGTAGTGATTGACAAGATTACATTTTGAATTGAACAGGACAAAATTTCAGATATGTAAGTGTGACTATCTCAGAGTTTGTATTAGGATGCAGCTTAGTTTGAATTAGGGCTACATATGCCACAGGTGCAAGACTACAGGTCTCCAACCTCCTGCTAGTAATCTGTGACTAAAATCACACCAGTGTGCAGACACTTGGTGTCTTTTAGTGTCCAGACACTTGGATTTTTAAGCCATAGAGTTAAGGTCCCCCATAACTGAAGCTTGCATACATCCTCGGTGAGAGATCAAAATTACCCTACTCCTAAATAAAAGGTTTGCTTAGTCTGCCTTGGCTATTAGTTTGGCAACACACAGTCAGAATGCTTTGTTCAGATCAGGTTATCTCAAAAATGATACAGCAGAAACACTTCATGAAAAATCAGAGGTGAAAGTAGTTTTTGAGATCTAAGGAGGCTTCTTGTGGCAAGCAAAGGGGGAGACTGGAGCTGAGAATTAAAATTTGTTACATATATTGACCCTTTTATGCATGAACTGGAGAAGCAAAGGAAGGACAATGTACTTGGAACTAACACATGTTAATGCTAACCCTCCCACTCCCAGTATTTATAACGACCACAAGCATTACAGAAATCATTGGTTTTGTTCTACTTCATTTAGGGAGCCACAGGTTTTGAAACTGAAGAGACAGCACTGCATGCTCAGATTTATTTTTTGAATTCACATGCTATGAATAGCTGAACAAGAGCAATGCAGAGCTAGAATTTAAAATGTTTTACGCATACAGAATCCATGAGGGTATGCCTTTGAAACTTTCTGCTAATACATTGTTCTTTTCTGTGCTTTTCAGGGAAAAAATAGAGTTTGAGAAAGTGGACATCAGTGAGTTGACATGGGAACAAAAAGAACGTGTTCTGCGATTGCTCTTTGCCAAAATGAATGGCGCAAATCCATAGTAATGCTCTGTTCTCTTCAGCAGGTGAGTGCTGAGCTTTACCTGTAATAGGAGCTGGGCTGTTAACTCCAGGTCAGGGGATCCAAGAAACTCTGAATCTAACATAAGCTGTGTGGCTTGGTGTGAGGTACATTAACCTTTTGCGAAAGGCTAGTTGACCTTTTGAAAAAGTTGATACACTATATACTAATTTTGGACATGCAGCAGACAAATGCGCTGTTAGATCTTTGTGTGGGGTATCAAAGGAAAAGCAAGTGGAAGTAAATTTTGGTAGTGCTGAGGAGTAACTTTGCTCAGTGCAGCGGGATTAAATTTTTTCAGTCATTAATGAAACCCTATCCATCTTTACCAAACAAGTAAGTAAGTATATTGAGACAGTGGCAATCCTCACGTTTCCTTTTAATAGGAGTACTGTAAAGCAATCTGCCCAGTATTAAAAAGTACAGATAGCCATAGCCAGATGTACTTACTCTATGCCTCATTGCTGTCTGTGTAAGAAACTTGGGAGCATGACTTCAATGATGCCTAAAATGTGGCTTACATTGGAAACTCGAAGTTGAAACGGCTTTAAATATATTATGAACTGTGAACCACGGCATGACTGGGCCAAAGGAGAAATCTAAAATACTATGATTTTTAATGTAGTTTGGGGAAACATAGTGCTTAGGGTGGCATATCAATTTCTCTGTTAAAAGTAATTAATTTTTTAAAAATAAAATTTAAATTTTCTTAGTAAAAGTTACATTAATGAAACTTTAGCACATTTTGTTAAGGTTATTACAGTGGAAGTAAGAAATGTGTAACTGAATGATTTATCTATCAGCTGTTATTGTTCCAAATTATGCATGGATTTAACTCCTTTTATCAGTATTTGCCAACATACAAGAGCCCACATAAAGCTATAGAGTATGAAAGCTTGAGGAATGGAATGCAAACAATTTTCATTTGACTTATAATTAAACTCATTTTTTAAAAAAACTGTTTGTTTCTCCTCACTCCCTTTTAATCATTAATGATTCTGCCACAAAATACAGAATTCTGTAGTGAACTGAAGTCATGTTTGATTCATACGGCTGATTTTGGGGAGCACATTGCAATAGTTCAGGTGCTCTGTCATTTCTGCCTCGCTGTTCATTCTAGCAAACAAGCTTGGTGTGGGATTAGAAACCTAGTTGAGCATAAATCACCTCTAGATAAGGATTACTTTGCTCTTGTGTCTTCCTCACAGGAAATACACCGAAGTTTTGGCTACTTGAGCTCCACCTCCTGATGATACTAAAGAAGAAATCAAAATTGGATAAGATACTAAATTATACCACACTATCTAACATCTCCTCAGTCCTGGTTATGTATAAATAGATGCAATTGTCTCTGTGTCATTCCTCCCACTTTAGAATACTTCGGTTTGTCTGAAGATCTATATTGGTGGGTCTATACACACTTAACGTATATGTGACGAGAGAGGAATTATTTATTTTGAAAATTCTGGTCGTGTTATCTTTTAGCAGCAGGCATTTAGACTCAGCTCTCGTGACAAAAAGTCATTGATCTCATGCCCCCTTAAAGCCTCCTTTTATTGAAAAGCAGCATTATTATTTTGGGAGGATTCTTTTGTGAAATGCCATGATCATTCAAGGAGATCCATTTTCAGCTAGTACAGTGAGTTTTTATTAAAAGGCCAAATCTACTAAGCTGATGTTACATCCAGTATAAAGTCACTTAAAGGACCAGGATGAAGATCCATATGCCTGACTTTCAGATACAACTATCTAGCTAATTATAACGCTCCCAGGCAAGCAATATCAGCTTACCCTGGAGGAATAAGTAGGGAAGAGTTCTGGCATGCGATCATGTCAGATATGAGGCAGTCAGGCACACAAACCAAAATGTAATACTCAGACATCAGATGACCAGATAAAGTTTGTGGGCAGGAGCCCTGGAGGGATTTATATGGGAAGATGAGAGACACCTCCTTTGGAGAGCCAGGCTGCTGCTTCCAGAAATGGGAGTGGAAGCATGCTGTAGCCACTGTTTTGCAAAGGCAGGGAACAAAACCAGAAGTGGAAGTCACAGGTCCCAATTCTCAAAGCTGGTTAAACTATTTTCACATAATTTGTGGACTTAAGAGTATCAAATAATTTTGAGAATCTAGATGGCATTGCCCTCTAGGTAAGAAACAATTTTTAATAGGAAACAAAAGGTTGACTATAAAATTGTATTTTATAGTCTAAAGAAATTTATTATGAGATACTTCCCACAGATTATAATTTTGCATAATATAGAAGAGGTATTCTTAAGCTTAATTTTTTTATAGTGAATGCTGAAATAAGGAGGATAAACAGATGTATGGAAAGCTGCAACAACAGTGAGGTGAGGGAGGTACATCATGACCAGTCAGCATCTGCAGCTTGATCTAAAAAGCCATTTCATTAACTAAAAAAGGCAGATGCAAGCTTTGTTTTTCTAGTACAATAAGTTAAAACCATCTGTTAAAAAAAAAAAAATGCTGTTGGAAATGTAGATAATCAGAAAAGATGTTTGCACACAAATGAAAAGATTGTGCAAGTGTCTAGAACAGGTCTGGAGAAAATGCAGGGTTACTCCTGCCATTCTTTATGGAGCAGGTAAGCTTAATGATAGACTGCTTTTGTTACAGGAAAAGCTGGATTTTAGAATTTCCAAAGGAAAAGATAGAATGGTTTGTAATAGCACAACAGAAACATCAGAATAGTAATACTGATTATGAAGAAAATAAAAGTGTTTTGAAAGTGAATGACTACAGATGACATTAGAGGCTATTAATTAGTATTCCTTTCCCAGGTGCATGAATGAATGCCAACGTCTTAATGGTGATTTACCTAGAATATTTTACCTTTATAGCACAGAAGATGTTTCTCCCAACCCAATATTCATTACACAGGAGACCAAATTATCAGATTCACTATCTTCTGCAGTAATCCTTCCACCTGTTCAGATGTTACCACCACAGACAGAGTAAGGCAGCTGTACACTTTGCGTGAACAACCGCAGCAACTACCGACTCGGCTGCACCTTGCATTTTGGAAGTTATCTTGTGAGCAAAGCTGTGCCTCCAAATCTCCTGTCTGCTGCACTGCTGGTTTGAATATGCATTTGAAACCCATCTGAAATACAGTTACTTTCCTCCTCCTTAAAGTAAGGATTTTGTTCTTTACCAAGCCAGAAGCTCAGATAACCCTGTACAAAGCACAGTTGTTAAGTCACAGAGCAGCCTCTGCAAAAAGGGGAATAAAGTCAACATCACACCTATAAAATGTCTTACCAAGAAGAGTCATATTCTGCAGAAATGTATTAGCATGTTTTTAATTTATAATCAAATTGCATGGTGAGAATTTCCCTCTGGAATATAGCAGAGGAAAAAAAAAAAAGATACAAACATTGGTGAATGTACAATGACTCACATATTTTGTAACTGTCAGTTACAAGACATCTCCACCAGAAGGCAGGATACAAAGTGTTCACATTCAGGTTAATTAGAACAAGTAATGGTTACAATCATTAAAATAATATTATCTTCCACGATTGCTTGAATGAGTTCCCTGCAGATCTGGCATGGCTGCTCCATCTTCCAGGATCCAGGAATAACAGTATAGGCTCTCCTGCTTCAAATGCACAGGTTTTTAAAAACAGGGTATACCAACATAAGTCTTACCCTTCTCTAGTGGGACCTGCAGTCCCTGGAAAACATGACTATATTTAAGCAAATATGATAAGAAGCCAATCAATCAACACAAGAAACACAGAAACCACCAGAACAGGCCTGGCTGCTTTGTGATTAAAAGCCTCTTTCTTTCTTGCTCCCGACCTACTCTGCCTTCCACTCAGACCCACACGATGCTGTGACATGAAGATACATATACGTGCTTCTGTCTCTGCTCCCACAGTTTCATTGTTACAGGACCTATAGGCACATGTCTGCTAGTACAGTAAAAAGGCACCAAACAAGTTTCAGGTATCATGGAATTGATGGCAAGCTGGAGAATACAAACCACATGCACAGAAGGAATAGAAGTTTTCAAGCTGTCACAGGCATGGTGAAGGTCACTACCATACAGGAATTTCTGTTATCCTCAGAAAAGCAATCATATATGCTTTGCTGAAAAATCCTTAGAAAGCTACTTCCCAAGTGTTTTGGAAACTGCTCAACAGATGAAGGACTGGGATTTTCAACTCCCAAACTTGCTGTCTTCATTGTATGTGAAGTCACTTCTATGAGACACACAGGGTCCTGGCTATGTTACTCAAAATGAGTACTCATCTTTGAGAAATGTGAACTCAAAATCTTCACATGTTAAGATCAAGAGGTAAAGAAAACTACTACAGGATGCAGCCAGGGAGTCAGTCACTAAGGCTAAAGATACTGAAGTGGAAACCAGAGGCACATTCAAGTTCAGAGAGTCTGGAGAAACACAAATGAAAAACAATCTCACTCTCTGCCCGTTCAATTAGATAAGGTTGTTTCATCTCTGGTAAGTGGTAGGAAAAAAAATTTAGTTCAGCTAGCTAAAAAACACTGACATCAACAGAAAAACCCAGACTGTGAGTTACTTGAGGTTGTCTGATAGACACAGACACAAGGGTCCTCGAGAAAACGGGAGCTTTCTTTTCATTCCCAAGGAAGTTATGATAGTCAGGACAAAGCTGGGAAGTGCAGCATAGAAGGAAAAGGGCACCAGGAACAGCATCTGCAAAGGCTGTTTTAGTTTCCCATAGTTGGCATAACCACAGCAGGCTTGGTAACGGTGGCATCTTCCTCTTTCCATTGAGAAATGACAGTTTTCAGCTGTGTGTAGAACTGCACTCCCTGGAGGAAAGGGGAGACACATGGATCAGATGTTTTGCCTTATGAATTCTTCAGGTCTGCATTAGTGGTGTATCAAACATTTTTTGCTTTATCTACAGAGGGTTGAGTTTTCCTCTCTGGGAACAATTCCTGTCAGCCTGATCCTTCTACCAGTTCCGCAAAGATTCTGGTTCTGTGGGAAAGCTTGCTACTTAGTTCTTGCTCCCTTCTTAAATTACTAAAACAAAAGACAACCAACCAACCTTGCTTATTTAAGAAAAAAAAAAAAGGAATTGGCTATTGTAACATGCATTCAGTTTCCTGGTTGAGACAGCTTCAAAGTCTCCTTACTAATGAGGTCTGATGACCATCTCCCCATTGCCATTTATAATGTGATTTATCACAGATCAACCCAGCAGAGTATCCCGAATCAGCAAGTTACCTGCTTGCCATAGAAATTGGTGTCCCCTCTGAAAGAAGCACGAGAGCCAGTGAAAGAGAACATGGGCAGAGGTACTGGGATTGGAACGTTGATACCCACCTAAACCAAAGGAAAGCTGCTGTATTAATCACAAGAAATAGCAGATTGCAGAGCGCTCTTTCCAAAAGCTACCAAATTTTGTTTCCTTACATCTGTTGGCTTAGTCAGTGATTAGTCAGTACAGCTAGACAGCTATGCACTGTAATTGATGAGTACCAGTAGGAACAATTCTAGCTTGAACATACCTGCCCCACATCTACTAAGTGAGAATATTTCCGAGCTGTGGCTCCATTAGTGGTGAAGATTGCAGTTCCATTTCCATAGGGGTTACTGTTCACCATCTTAATGGCATCATCCAAAGTGTCTGCTTCCAGAACCACTAAGACGGGCCCAAAGATTTCCTCCTTGTAGCAAGTCATGTTTGGCTGCCAAGACAAACATCAGAAAAAGCAACTTGTATATAGGATATAATAAAAATCGCCTAGTAAATTGGATATAATAAACATACATGCTGCTAATGCTCAGGAGATTCCTAGGATCACACATCATTCTTCACTACCACAGGCCATCCTTCAGTACTTGCCTTTTCACCATTTCCCATGCCCTGCCATCTATCTAGTCCACTACAGAGGATACCACTCCTCACCTCCAGAGCGCTTTCTGCTTTTGCCTCCTGCCCATCCTCACTTACAGGTCTGCTCTGACCAAGGCTGATTAAGATCAGGATTACTTCAAGATAGTTTACTTCAGTTCTTGTTGACCAAGTGACTAGAACCTGCTATCCTTTCCAGCTCAGTGTCCAATCCCCACAACACCTGACAAATACCAAAAACACCATTTGGAGAGTACTTTAGTCACTAATAGCTAATACTGCAAACTACAAAACATTAATTTGACAAGTTGTTATTTGGATTACCATATTATTAACCACTGTATAAGAAAACTAAGAATCACAAAATCTCATGGAAATTTTTCCTTTCGAATACCTGACAATATTTATGACCCATCACAGGGACGTGAAGTATTTTAAGACATTTAATAAAAAGAAGGCAAGAAAATTCTGAAATAGATTAAAAGCCTGAATTATATAATAACATAAAATCAATAAAGTCCTAAGAATACGAAGTATGATAGCAGAATTATCAGTATTGGTTTGCTATCATGGAATTGCCAAGGGGCCCACAAGGAATTGAATACTTAAGGAAATCATACCAGCTCATTGCATAAGCAAAAAAGAATGAATTTAGGTATGAAAACTCACAGGGATGTGTACCTGGTACAGAATATTCCCCCCAAGTAGTGTCCGTCTGTTGCGTACCATGCGTTATATTGAGAGGCTGACTCAATAAAGTTGTGTGAATACATTCAACAACAAAGAGATTTTTATACCTTATCCTGTATTATTATCATCAAGATTTCCACAAATATTTAACTGTTGTTTCTACAAGTCCTTAAATTGTAAACTGCAGGAATGTAAAATGGGGGAGAGAAAATGGCAAGTTTGGCTACTCATCATACTCTTCTCTAGAAGATGGCCTGCTGGCCATTAATACAGATAGTACAGTCTGCTCGATGGACATTCAGTTTAACACAGTACACACTGCCTATATCTTCTTTTAGTTGGCTGAAATCCATTCATATTAAGATAATTAACCTCATTCAGAGCATGCTGCCCAACTGCAAATTCTTCAATCACCTCCACAACAGCATTAGTATCAGCTCTTCGTTGGAACTGTGCAAGGGAAGGCTGAGCCACTTCTGGACTTTCTACCCAGTGATTACTGATTACCACCTAAGCTGGGTAACCCATTTTCCAGTTGAGCCTGCAGTATACACTATGAAGCACTGGTTTTGGTCATCTTACCTTGACGTTGGCAAGGATTGTTGGCCCAACAAAATTGCCATTTTCATAGCCCTTCACTTTGATGTTACGTCCATCCAGAAGAAGGCGGGCACCTTCTTCTACTCCTTTCTCAATCAGATGGCAAACCCTTTCCTTAGCTTGGGGACTGATTAGAGGCCCTAGATCTGCTCCAGGCTGGTCTCCTGTGAAAAGGCAGAGACAGCAAGTTTTAATGCTGACAGCTTCCTCTTCACAGGCATCATAGAGGTAACTACACTAGCAGGAAAAAATTTAAAGTGGATGTTTCTGAGATACAGACAAATACTTGAGACATTAATGAACAGGAGTAATAGCCTGCGACTCTCATAATCAACACATAAGAGAAACTGTAAGCATAAGCGTAATTTTAGATCACTGGGAAGCCAAAATTCAACAGATTCTTCTCAGAAAGGAAGCTTCACCCCATTGCAGGACTTTATTGAATGTAAACAAAAGATAATTATCCTAGAATTAATAACGATCTAGTTTTCCCAAAGTGCTTGTTTCCATTTTTCCTTTTTATTGCATACTGACTACAAATCAGAAGGCTCTCTAAGTGAAGCCGCTATAAATCTGGTAGGTTTGAGTTAAATATAGGACATAACCTCAAAGCTCCAGTTAAAACAAGACCAATCCTGTAAACTTGCATCAGTCATACTTACAAGCCTTCTTACAAATCTGTAACTCCAAGTCTAGGGCTGTGTTTCACCATCTAATCTGCAAGCTCCTACCCCTGCACATAAAACCTGCGGTGCCAATAGCTCCAAGGGACACACTGTGGTACAGCAGGCATGCTGACCTAAAAAGCTACAG